CCCCCGCCGCCGACGCCTGGAAAGGCAGGCGGAGCGGCCAATCGGCTCGCGGAGAGAGGCGCTGGGCCCCGTGCTTGGCCCGGCGGCCGCGCGCTGGGCCAATCGAAGAGGGGAAACCAGTCAACACGACCCGCCCCCCCCGCAGCGATTGAGTGACAAGGCGACCGCCCAATGGAACGCGACTCCTCCGCCGAGCGGCGGCGGCAGCTGCCAATGAGACGACGCGCAGGAGCCAGCCGCCCGTCTGGGCGCTTGACAGGCAGCGGCGCTCACCAATCCCCGCGACTCAGAGGCACCGCCCCTTCGCCCCTCAGCTGTTGCCATGGCACCAGGCGCCCCGGGCCCCCAACGCAGGGCGAGGCCTGGGACCGCCATGGCGGAGCCTCCATCGCCCCGCAGGCTCCACCACCGCCCCCCTGGGGGTCCCCCATGTCCCCGGGGGTCCCCCGTGTCCCTAGGGTCCCCAATCCCCGACACCTCCCGGGGGTAGAGGGGGCTTTGGGCCTCCTCCAGGGCTTCACCACAGCGGGGCCTGCGGCGGGGAGATGGCTCCTCGGCCTTGCTCACCTCCCCCAAGAGCGGCCCAGGGGCTTCCCCTGCGCTGCCACAGCCCCACGGGCTGATAACGCTGTCTAAACGTGACCCGGCCTTGCACTCGCCCGCCGCCCTCGCAGGTTCCTCGGCAGGACGGAGTCACAGCCGAACCCGGAGCTTCGCCTCAGGCCCTTCAGTGAGTCAGTGGCGGGGCTGGGAGTCCAGCCAGGGCATCGCCTCCTAACCCCCGCGCTACGCTTTCTTCGTTGCGCCAGCCCTTCGCTAATTAAAAGTCTTTAATTTCACGCTCCAGCAGCTGCCCAGTCGGCATACCCCTGCTCATTAGGCCCAGGTCTGTTTTCAGGTTGAGAAAAGCGAGCTCTCCCGGTCGGCTGCTCCTCGCCCGTGGCGGTGGGAGCTGCTGGAGGTGCAAATGGCTGTGTCAGAGAGAGGTAACTCCCAGCCCCGACCTGGGCTGGCCGAGAGCCGCAGGGAGGGGGACAGCACTGGTGGGGCGGGAAGCCGGGCACCATGCCCCTGGGGTGCTGGTGCTTGGAGCAGGATAGGGCTCACCACCACGCAGGCAGAGCTGCCGCCTTTGAGCTGCTCACAGCAAAGTGCTGTGGACTTGGCCATGTGTCTGGCTGTCCCTTAGCCTAAAACAGTCGCACTGTCCATGGGTTGTCCCACGAGCACCGCTGCTAATCACAGGGGAACCCACCGGCCAGTTTGAGTTTGACCCGAGGTCTTGATGTTTGATGCCTTTTGAGGCAGTGACTACCCAGCGGAGGTGAGAGAGACGCTGCAACTGATCCCAACCACCTCACCGGGTGCCTGAGGACCTGCGCCATGCAGCAGGTGGCTCTGCAGCCACTCGACAAAACATGCCGGGATCTCCCATTACGAGCTGCAGGAACAGAGGCAGAAAGGTGCTGTGAACAGCTGCAGGAGCAGGGCCAGCATCAGGCCTTCGTCCTGTCCTTGCCCCTCCAGGATGGTCAACCACCAGATCGCTGACGGGAACTCCATAAACTAAATAAATAAGCACAAAGCAGGGTCGGCGTTAAAACTGTCACCTCTGAGCAGGTTATTTATACCTTCCCCAATCGATCGATGTGGGCTTCCTGCCCAAATCAATGCTGGTGCCCACGGGGTGAGGGGCAGCCCCTGCCAGACCTGGCAGCGGAGGTGGGCAGGTAGGAGGTAAGGGCAGCTGGGCAGCACCACCCCTGCCTGCTATTCCTGCAACGCTGCAGCTGCCCAGAGCGGCCGCAGCTGCCAAAACCAGACACCCTCTTCCCTGCCCCAGAAACTTGCCGGGACAAACAGGATGCCAGAGACAATACTTCATCCAAAAAAACGTGGAAAATGAGCGTGGGCTACAACGCCTCGCAGCAGGGTGAGGTTTCCCAACCGGGGGTGTCTTCCCAAGGGCAGCAGCGCGAGCGGAGCCCCCTTCTTTATGGCAAGGACTGAGCTTGCCAGCACAGCTGAGAGATGGGGGACAGGCTGCGCATCCCCCCCTGAACCCGGATAGCCCCAACGCTGCGAGCAGGGATGCTCCAGAGCATCCAGGGAGACAGGCACAGCAGGGAAAGGGACCGGAGCAGCCAGGGGAAGGTGGTGAGGAGCCTGGAAGCACCCAGATCCAAGTGATTTTGGGCCATGGGCTTGCTCTGCTCCAGCTGCTCCGTCTCACTAATCTCCTTCTGGAAAACAAGCCACGAAACACCCACAAAAGCCGGGGTGCCGCCCCAGCCCACATTGTGCCGCAACCGGCAATTTGCTGAGGCAACGGCGGCGGCCCCGGCGGGCGGACGGGCACAGCCCCATTGCCACAGCGGTTCTCCCTCGATACTGAGAGCCACCGCTTGGCACATTGCACACCGGCTGCGAAATTTGGAGGTGCTGCCAACCCCAATGGTCACCAAGAGTGACCACTGAGAGAGTTTTATTCGGGCACCATCTCCCTGTTGTCCTCCCCTGCACCCCACAGGGAAAAATGGGTGTATGGGAACGTCCTAAAAACTTCCCCAGGGCTGTGGTCAGCCTCCTGCTAGCAACCCGAGCCGGGCTGCCCCTCGGGGAATTATTTTTAGTGTGTCCCCCCCTCCACCCCAGGACTATTTGGAAGGCTGGCAGGCATCCCTGTCCCTGTGCCCTGTCCGGCTCCCAGCCCTCCTCCAGCTCGGGCAGGCAAAAACCTTTCGGTGCCTCGTGCTGGCAAGAGGGGGCACGAAGCCCCTTCCCCAGTGCTCCCATGGGAAAACTGTCTCCCCCCCGGTTTCTTTTCGTGTCCTGCTGCCCCTCACACCCCAGGCTGTGGCCAGTGCTCCCCGCGTGGGTTCAGCCCCCGCCGTGGGGAAACGCTCTGGCTCCTGAGGTTAAAGCAAACAAGGGTGATTTGGGTGCAAGCGGAGCAGGGTTATGGGGGGGGGGGGGCCTGTGCCCCACAGCGGGGGTCACCCGTGATGGCACTCGGTAGGAGGGGGTACTGACCCCCCAGCAGAGGCCACGTCCTGCATCAGGGACGTGCTTGCAGCCGCCGGCTGGACCCCGCGCTGCCAGGACCACCCCCCCTCGCCTCCCCCTGGTCACCCGGGGGGGTTGGGGGTGACCCCAAGTTAAATGCAGCAGAGGTTAAGTGAGGGATGAACCCCCCACACTGCTGAGCCTTCCTCCCCCGCAGTGGCTTCCCTGAACTCCCAATTCGGGGTGCGTGAGGGTCCCAATCTCCATCCCACCCCACTGCCCCCCTCCAGATCAGTCCTTTCCCAAAAGAGGTGTCTGTGTGCGGGAGGGGGGCACTGGTGGAACAG